CCTTTAGCCGAGTTACTCTTAAAGCTTTTAGAAGATTTTGATGAATCCGTGCTCCTTTGGAACTCGGTTAAAGATTCGGCCACCACAATAGCCTCGTCTACTGTCTTCACTCCCCGACGCTGAAGTTCTTGCTTTGCCCAATTTTGCAATCCGTCGGTAAAGTGAAACAATAGATCTTCATCTGACATGCTCGGGATTTGAAGCACAAGGGTAGTAAACTCTTTGACATAATCGCGAATAGTGCCCTTATGTTTCAATTCCCTAGGCTTTTTACGGGCCTCATATACTACATTTTCGGGATAAAATTGGCGTTTCAATTCCTTCTTGAAATCATCCCAACTATCTATCCTACAAGCACCCTTTTCTATGTCGGCGTGTTTACGTCGCCACCATAGAGCCGCGGTGTCCGTAAGATACATAGTCGAAGTACGTACCTTAGTAGCTTCATCCAAAATGTTCACGCCCTCAAAATATATTTCCAATCGCCATAGGAAATTATCTAGCTCTTTCGCGTCTCGCTTTCCATCGAACTCCCTAGGCTTTGAATAGTCGATCCTTGGAGCCGCTAGCATCGTGCTAGTACCCGCACTGGTTGACGCCTTCTTACAAGCGTCTAGGCCACTTTGCATATCCGCGCAAAGCTTGTTCACTTGGTCTTGGATCGCTTTGACAGCATCCATGACCTTAACCTCCAACCTCGTATATTCTTCCCTTAATCACTACCAAGCCTATCAAATAAATCAGCAATCAAAGGAATAGGATACTTATTTTTAATTGTTACCTTGTTGAGCGCCCGGTAATCTACACACATGCGTAACGATCCGTCATGCTTCTTTTGGTACAAGACCGAAGCGCCATAAAGTGCCTTCGAAGGTCGTATCCTCCCCGTGTCTAGCAACTCCGTCAATTGCTTTCGAAGTTCTTCCAGCTCCGGCGGTGCCATCCGATAGGGTGCCATGGATGGTGGTTTGGCACCCGGTTCCAACTCAATCTTATGATCCACCTCCCTCCTAGGTGGTAATTTCTTGGGTAACTCCGGCGGCATCACGTCCTTATTTTCTTCAAGGACATTCTTGATGACTTCGGGCACATTATCGTCACCCACAACTTCCTCAACTTGGTCCTCCATTTTTAATGCTGCCAAATACGTCGCCTCTCCTTTCTTTAGCCCTTTTGCTAGTTGCATGGCCGAAAGCTGCCCTATTGCTTTCGTCCTAGCTACCGTAGGAACC